TGAATCTATGCTTTGCTGAAAAATGCCTTGCTGTGGGATAATCCTCCTGTACACTGTAAAGATTTGTCACTCGAATTGGTTTAATAAAACACTGACCAGTAGCCAGACAGGTAGTATAGGCAGGATGACCAAACTAAGGATGATGGGAAGGAGAAAGGTGGAGTCAGGAATCACCAGCTAGGTGCAGAGGAAGAAGGAAATAAATGTGCCATGCTAATAAAGGTACTGCCACAGAGCATGGCAGAACATAAATAAGGAATATGAGTTAACTTAATATGTAAGCACTAGTTAGTAATAAGCCTGAGCTATTGGCCAAGTGTAATAAGAGCCCACTTATTTGTTTCTGGCTGCTCAGCTCCCAAATAATCGCACATAATCTATATTATTTAAATCACTACTTGGCCAATCACTTAAATGCATTTCCGACTAACTCTTATGTTCTAAAGTAACCCATCTCCATTCATTTGTAGATTGCTATGTGACTGTGGCTTACCTGGTAAAGTTCTGTCCCTGGAGTCTGTCTCAGGGTGGGGGTCTATGTGGCTTCTCCAGACTCTGCCTTCTTTCTCCCAGCATTCAGTTTAGTTTTCCCGGCCTAGTTCTATTCTGTCCTATCAAGAGGCCAAGCAGTTTTTTTATTAACCAATAGCATTCACATCATACAGAGGGGAATTCCACATCAGCCAAGGATTTGTAATTTATCCTAAGACTCTGTGTGGTAATTTGGGAAGCATCTTCTAAGTATTTAGGAACAGGCAGTTGGGACAGGAAATGTCTGCTTACACTATCTTGTGAATCTCTCACTCTGGCTGTGTCTGTCTGAGTGTGTCTGTCTAACAAAGAAATTTTCTCTATCTTTATTAAACAGCATAGGAGCCATCTCTTCATAATGAACAAGGGATACTGTCCAGAAATCTTTAACAGAGTTTTACAAGGGATTAAGTCACTCATTCCAACTGACCCAGGCAACAAACAGTATTATAAACATCATTGTTTATCAAGCAATATCTTTATATTGCATTCAACATTTGTGTTGAATATTCATTTTATAAGACTGCTTTCAAGTTCTCTTTGCTAGTTCCAGCAAATGATTATTGTAACACAAATGCATTATTCGGGGTCAAGAGCACAAAAGAGTATAACTTAACATTACAGGTACACATTAGTCTAGATTGTAAAAGTCGATTACATGGGAAATTCAAGGCAAGTAAGGTTGATTTTCACTTTGTTCTCTTAAAGGCCACATAAATGAACAGGCTGAGCACACAGTAGGATAGCAGTCTCAAGTCCTAAATGACAACAAGGTATATTAGTAACTCTTTGAACATGAGATGGTTTCATAATATTGCACTACCACACCCCTTAATCGCAAGCAGTTTATAAATATTGCTAGTATTTGAAACAAGCATCTTACTTGAAAGACACAAAGATAATAAACTTTGAAAGAGATTGATGGTCTGCAACATTCTGCCATAATTAAATAAGATCAGGGCAATCAAAGTTATTCCAAGTCCACATTAAGAACTCCTCAGGACAGAGAGAGTGGTATTGGCCTTGACAGACAATGGGCCATACAGAAAACTAGAGGCGACAGACCCGGAATGGCACAGGGATTCCACAGTACTTTGCCTAGATTGAAAGGCTTCAGGATCTATTAGAATATTTTAAGTATTCCATGGTACCTTGTCTCACCATGCAGGGTGGGGAGCAGTTAATTCTAGGCACTTAATTCTAATTGTATAACAAACCTTAAATGCTACACTCAGATGGATCAACCCCTTTCATTGAGCTGAGAAATTATAACAGAAAAGAGCAACATCTGTTACCCAACATGGTAAAATTTAGAATGGACGGCATCCAGTCTTAGGTTTACCAGAACAAGCAGGAAAATGTGACCCAGACTAAGGGGGAGAAATCAATGAAAATCAACTAAAAACTGGCATGAATGTTGAAACAGTCATAGATGTTGTTTGCCAAAAATTGCAAAGATAAGGAGAGACGTGATGGTATAAAGAGAGATGTGATGGTGTAAGACTCATAGTGCCTTCATACAAACTGGCATGCATTGAATTCAGAGGGGTTTTGATATTAGAAAAATAATATTCCAATTTCTTTTTGGAGAGGACAGGGAGGCAGCATTTGGAGACAGGGTTTCTCTGTGTAACAGTCCTGGCTGTCCTGGAACTAGCTCTGGTAGACCACGCTGAGCTCAGACTCACAGAAATCCATCTGCCTCTGCCTCCGAAGTTCTGGGATTAAAGGGTGTGCGCCATCATAACCCAAACCAATTCCTTTCATCTGTGTTATACTTGAATGTTCTACCTCTCAGTAGTTGAGAGGAAAATCATTGGCATGTGATATTCTGTAGGGTCCAGAAAATGATCTACTATAACCATGGTTTTGGATGACAGAGCTTATTCAGTATTGAGTAAGTCAAAGTGTGTGTGGGAGAGAGAGAGAGAGAGAGAGAGAGAGAGAGAGAGAGAGAGAGAGAG